GACCCCCGGCCCCGCGCTGCCGGAACCTCGCCGCCGAAATCTGCGGAAGGCAGGCCACGCCGTCCGCCCCGGCCCGCCAGGTGCCCGGAGGCGAGAACGGGCGTCGAGGGCAGCGCCCTCCCCGGGCGCAGCCGGGCACCCGACCCTCGATGAGCAGCATCCGCGGGCGAGGACACAGAACGCCGGGGCGCTCGGGGCCCGGACAGAGGATGGAGCCGGTGTCACGGTGTTGGCGAAGTCGCGCTCACCCTAGCGGGGAGCAGCGCTCGTCCCCGAGGAGGAAGCGACGGCCCCGCGACGGCCCGACGGGGGGCGGCCTCGGGCGCTGAAGGAATGCGGAGGGGGCCGGGCCGGGCGGGCCGCCAGTTTCCATGATGCGGGGGGCGGGCTCGCCGAGGGGCTCGGGCGGGCGTCCAGGCTGCGCGGCGGCCGGGCCCCTCGGGAGAATTTCCGGCCTGGGATTGATTACGCCGCCCCTCCCCCGCCGCGGGACCCCCGGCTCGGGGCGGGGGAGGGGCGGTAATGAGGCCCGGCTGGCGCGGGGCGGAGAGCGAGGAAGCGGGACAGTCCCCGAGCCGCGCAGCCCGGCAACCGAGCTCAGCCCCGGAGAGCCGGCAACCTTGGGAGGGACCCTGGGCGCCCCCGACGGACCGGGAGGAGGCACGGGTGGAGCTTCGAGGAGCTGCCTCCGCCGTGCCTCCCTCCTCCCTCGTTTCCTTCGCTCCTTTCGGGAGCCGGTGCCCACCGACCTCCCCTCAGCCTCCCCGCACCGCACGCAGACTCCAGACTCCGCCGCGTCCCGGAGCAGCGCCTGCTACGGTCCGGGCTCACTGCTGTCTCTGGGGACCAACACTTGGACTGACCTTACTGACTCCACCCTCGGGTGGCTGCTTTTCCCCTTGCTCCTGGGCCCCTCTGGGGCCCCTCACACCTGCTTGCCTTTCCTCCCTCCCTGTCCCCTGTGTCCTCCCTGTGGGTCGGGGCTCTTCCCACCTGGCCCACCTCGCTTTCAACCCCTGGCCACTTCCGCAGGCCTCTTTCACCCCTGACTCCCACCCAGTGAAGAGCCCCGCTGAGTGTCCCAGTGCGCTGCGGTCTCCCTAGGCTCCTTCCTCTTGTCCACTCCATCCAGTCTTCCAGACAAGCACCAAGCATCCTTCTACCCTGAATCTGATCCTGCCGCTCCCTGATTGAGACCCTCAGTGGCTCCCCAGCACTGTCGAATACACTTTAAAATCCCTTCTTGTGTCCACAAACCGGCGTCTGGCCCCCACACTCCACCCTCCTCCTGCCTGGCTGACCTTGTTTCTGTCCTGAAGTCCTTTGTCCTCTGTCCTCTGGGGTTCATCATGTTCCTCCCCCTACCTTCCTATTTTCCTTTCTTTTCTTCCTCTCCTTCCTTCCTTCCTTCCTCTTTTTGATTGAACCCAGAGCCTTCACACTGAGCCAGGTCCCCAACCTTTGAGAAAATGTTACATTTTAAGACGGGGTCTTGCTTAAATGGCCTGGATGTACCTGTACTTGTGATCCTCTTGCCTCAGCCTCCCAGAGTGTTGGGACCGCAGGCATGTTCCACCACATCACCTATTTCCCGGGTCCTCACCTTGCCACCTCCTGCTGCCTCCGTGCTCCAGGCCTTCCCCTAGCCCCCTGGTTAGCTCAGCCACTCTCTTCCTCCTGCACGATAGGCCCTTGTGCCCCTGTGCACAGGCCCCTGGAGTTGCTTGAGAATTGAATCTGTTTCTCGCCCTGGTCTCAGGCCTGAGTTCTGAAGTGCAAGGCTGGGTTTGTCTTGCATATCCTGGAACCTCGCTGTTAGGACTGTGTGCAAGGTCTGTGCCCCCCACTGCCAGACCTCTTTTCTCCACTTTGGATCCCTGGCCCAGCCAGCAGATAGAGAAGACTTAGCCCTCTGAGGAGTCTCAGTTTTCCCATCCATAAAAAGCAGGGGATAATACCTGCTGCCGTCGTTTTGAAGGTTAAGTAGGAGTGCAGGTGTTCAGCGCCTGGCACAAAGCGAGTGCCAGCAAACAGCTTCACCCTGCCCTGACCATGGGGCTTCAATGCAGAGGGCAGTGTGTAGGCCTGCGGAGATCTCCCAAGGTCATTTTGGGTGGTCCCCTTTCCCAGCTGTAATGCTGATGAGTTGTCTGGAGAATTCTAGGGGTCACTGATAGGCCCACTTTGTAGATGCCAAAACTGGCTTGGAGGGTACAGCTCCGCCCCCAGGCCCAGCTAGAGGGATTGAGCCCTCCCCTCTGCAGCGGGCCCTCCCCCTGCCCGTGTGGCTCAGCCCCGCAGAAACCTGTGTGCGGCAGTCTGGGGACACCGGTTGCCCCCAGGAGGCCTGGACCCCCGTCAAATCTGCCGTGGCCTCTGTGTGACCTGTGCTACCTCCCTCCGAGCCACGAGGGGCCTGGGTGAGATGTCCCCTGGGGATTAGGGCGATGCACATTTCTCCCTATTGCCCCTGAGGCTCCATGTCCTCTCCAGAAGCCACTGAGGGTGGGAACAGAGCAAACTGTCACCTTCTTGGGCACGGCCTCAGAATTCCGCATCTCAGAATTTCAGCTTGTGTTCTCTGCTTTAGGAAGAAGGCTGTCCCTGTGGGCTGCTTGGGCTTTCCTGCTCCTGCCCCTGCCCCTGCCCCGCTCCAGCCGCAGTCTCCAGCGGCTTGGGAGAGCACTCGGCGGGCACCGCCTGATGCCAGTGTGTACACGGTGCCCTGCAGCTCCCGCCCAGAGACCTCAACTTCAACCAAGGATCCAGAGCCAGTTCAAGGGCAAAAAGAGCACGGCCGAGGTCCCTCGTCGATCAGGCTGCTCCGCCACAGGGTGACATCGGGTAAATCACAGCAGTCCTTACCGCTCCTGCCTGTCATGTGTCCTCCACAAGCAGGACCTTGTATGACCTCAGGGAGACCTGACTGGCAAGTAGAACCCAGAATCCCAATCCGAGGGCTCCATTCTATCAGGACGGTACCCAGACACGGGCAGTGACTTGCACAGGATGGCAGAGCGGGACTCCCAGCCCCACCGGCACAAGTCCCACCCAGGGCTGAGCCCCTCAGAGAGCAGGTCTGTGGCATAACGAATCCCAGGTCCAGGTCCTGCCAGCCAGGGAAGCCCTGTGCTGGGCAGCTGTGGGTTCCTAAGCGAGGTGTCTGGCCTTAGGCAGAGCGAGCTCCTGTCTCCAGTGTGCTGTGAGGCCCAGAGAGGGGATGGAGCCTGGGCGAAGCTGGGGCGTCCTAGGAAATGTCACCTTCGTGGAGGACAGGGCAAGCTCAGGCTCCAGGGGAGCCCTTGGGCAGAGGATGGGACAGGCATGTCACCATCTCACTGAGCTGCCAGGGCCTTTTATGTGTTCTCAAGTGTGCAAGATGAGTCCAGGAGTGAGGTGCGTGCTCACCTGCATCACAGGTGGGAACCGAGGCTGCGTGAGGTCCAGGCTTGCTGAGGTCAAGGGCAGAGCCCGGGTCAGAACCCTTCCCGCAGCGGCTTGCTCCTCTCCACTGCGGTTTCCTCCTCCACACAGCGGGGCCCCTGGGCCCAGAAAGTGGCAGCCTGGCCATGCTAGGGTTTTTCTGGCCTCCAGATGTTGACTGCGCAGCAGTTTTTCCCTTATAAAATGTTAAATCAAGGCCGGTGATTGCCTCTCTTTAGCTGCCTCCTCTGGGCTATTGGGGACCAGAGAGACACAGCCCCATCCAGATGCTTCAGGAGACCGGAGAAGCAGATGCATCCCCCAGAAGCTGAGCAAGCAGCGGCCGGCTCCTTGGGGGGTCCTGCCCAAGTCACCTCTGAGCAGTGGTCTCACCACCTCTAAGCCTGTTTCCTCACCAGACTGTGTCACTTACTGAGCTCAAAGGGTAACCAAGAGCTCACGGGGCCTTGCTGGGACACCTTAGCTGGTGTTGTTATTTCTACTGCAATTCACGGAGCTCGGAATTCTACCTCTTCTCTGTATCCCTTTGTAAAACTCAGCTGTTGAACATTCCCACTGGATCAGACACTTTTTCCTGGTCCAGTCAACTTCCAAGTAGAGGGAGGAACAGGCTCAGGAACCACTGGAAGTAGGGCTGGAAATACAGGCTCTCGGGAGTCCCTGGGGCTGACAGGTCCCTGCGAGGGGTGCCAGCCTCGGGAGGTGGGGAGGGTGGATCTTGGCACTCGGGTGATCTGCCAACAGCTTGTAGAAAGGCTACTGGCTGGAAGTTTGGCTACAGGGACATCCCCGCCACCCATGGACTGAGCCACAACTTGTGAGTTCCACAAGGAACTGAGGCTGGAGGGGCCCTGAGAAGATGCACCCCTCCCTTCTCCCTCTGTGAGTGCTTGGGAGTACCAGGTCAGTCAGCAGCAAACACAGGGCAGGAAAAACAAACAAAAAACCCCAAGTGTTTCCCCTTCCGCGTAAATTAGCCAGATGGCGCTGCTGTGCAGAGAAGCAGCCCCGGGAGGGGAGCAGGCTGCAGTCAACCCACAGTGAGGTCGTCTATACCAACAGGAAGTCGGGGTTTCCCAGGCATGGTGGCACACACCTGTGACCCCAGCCTCTTAGGATGCCGAAGCCGGCCTGCGCAATTTAGTGAGACTGTCTCCAAATTTCTAAAAGGGGTGAGGAGGTAGCTCAGTGGTAGTGCTCTTGCCCAGCATGCTCAAGGCCCGGGGTTCGATCTCCTGTACTGCCAAGAAAACTTTGCACTTGCTGTGAACCATGTGATTGGAATCATTTGTTACTGCAGCATAAGTCACTGAGAGCTGACTAATACACTGGCAGTTGTAAGTCTTGTAAATAGCAGCTAATCATGGGGCTGTTTTATTTCAGTACAGCACAAGACGCCCGGCTGAGGTTGTCAGAGAAGAATTTATGAACAGTGACGTTCAGAAGCAACATAAAAAGTATTTCTCTGTTCTTTTACAGCTGTATAGGACGCCCCCGCCCCGGGTCTTGTTGCTCTGCATCCTGCAGGTGGGTGGCGCTCCTTTGCCTTTGTGATTAAAGAAGCTGTCTGTCCTCCCCGACCCCCCATCCCCGGGGTTGGGGAACCCGCCTGGTACACATGTCCAGAATGCTCCTTCCCCAAGCCGTGGCCTCACTAGCTCCAAGGATGCTGGGAGACTGCTCCTGGGGGACAACGAGGACCCTGCCACAGCCGGACGTCACAGCTTGTGACATCTCCTTTGGTGACAAGTCGTACTGCTGATGAGACAGTGACCCGTCACTGCGGAGGAAAAGCAGAGGCTCGACCCCTCCCCCCGGATTCCAGGTGAGGATCTCCAGGGTTGGCCCGGTTCTAGGGGGCAGCCCTCTGCAGGGGAAGGAGGGCGGGAGTTGGGGTTGGGACCGGCTGGCCAGGGCCGCGTGGGTGGAGACGCGGGGCGCCCCCTGGCGGCAAAGGTGTGCCCCTGCCCCGCGGGAGGCCATCGCAGCCCTGCGGGCACCGGATCCTGTGCCAATCGCGCTCCCCACCCCCACCCACCCCGGCAATCCTGGTCCCGGGGTCCCGGGGATGAACTTCCTTGCAAACGGCCCGCTGCCAAGGATCCCCTTGGGGAAGATGGAGTGGCGGCGGAGGAGGGCCACACTGAAGGGACCAGCCCGTTAGGAGCGGGGAGCGGGCCCGGCCCAGGTACTCGGCTTAGCCAGATCCCGCGTTACGCTCTCGCGGCCAGTGGGGGCAGCACTCCCTGATCCCCGCCCCGCTGACTGAGGCTCGGGGACACTAAATCACTCAGTAGGTGACAGCGCCAGGTCCAGTTCGGGACTGCGGGAGTCCAGGCCCACATTACGGTGCTGACCACCTTGTTGTCCCCGACACCCCCAGGCTCACCCGGCTTGGGCCCCTGTATTGTGGGGCGTCAGCCCGCCCTCCGTAGGTTTGCTCCCTATCAACAGAACCGGCGCCCTTTGCGGTGTGTGTTTCCCCACAGCGGAGGGACAAGGCCCAGGGAGCGCCCTCCTGCCCCAAGCACCGCGCTGATCCTCATCCAATGCCGCCGCCTGCGGGGGCGCTGGGCCGGGTGCGCTTCAAAGGGACAGAAACGCAGCCCAGGCTGCCCTCATGGGCGCTAAGCTGGCCCTGAAGGGGCCGCAGGTCCTGAGCTCGCGTCTGTTTCCATGGACGGGAGAAGTGACCCCATCAGGCTGTGGGCCAGGGTCTGAGTCCAAAGCCCTCTCCACATGGAGTCGGGAAGCTTCCAGACAAGGAAACAGTAACTCAAAGTTTACATAACTGGGGTGGGGGTGTAGCTCAGCGGCACATCGCCTGCCTGGCAAGCGAAAGGTCGTGAGTTTGATTCCGGTACCGGAAAAAAACAAAAAAAAACAAAGTTTTCATAACTTGGCCAACAAGAAGGTAGAGACCGTCACCCCACTCCTAGAATCTCTCCTGTCCGCATCTGCACAATGCAAACGTGGTCCTCTGGGGAGCCGTGAGAGCCCAGCAGTGGGTAAAACTCCCCGCCACAGCCGCGCTTAGTAGGTGCGCAGGCTGTAGGTCCTTCGATCAGTCTCTTATTGGTACTTTCAGGAAGCGCAAGACCCCCCAAGGAGAAGACCAGCCACGAGGAAGGGAGCGAGTGCGTTCGCAGGGCCGCTGGTCCTTGAAGATTCTCCTCCGAAGGACCCCGCGCCTGCAGACGTGAAGGTACTGACCCGGCCGTGCGCGCCGGGCCCCTGGGACGGACGGTTCTGGTTTGGCGGGGTCGCCAGTGATGATGGCCCTAGAGGCTTTTCCAGCTTCTCGGCTAGTTCCTCTTGCCAAGAGATGCCTGAGAGAAAAGACTTAAGATGAATGAAAGCTCGCTGAAAGAATCTGCAGTCGGCTCGATGGTAACTGAAAGAAGTTTTTGCCCTCGTTGCAGTCGCTGAAGCTCGAGGTCAGGAACGGGGTGGGGAGGCGGCTGCACGTGGACGCTGGGATTTTCCGCTCGCCTCGCCCTGGGCTGGGAAGGCGCCTGTGCCTTGCTGTTAGAAATAATGAAGAGTAAACACCTTTGTACTAGAGCGCTCGTCTCGGACTTGTCACCTCGGGATAAACCTCCAGGAGTGGCGCACTGGCACAGCTTCCGCCAGAGAGCAGTCTGGAGCCGGCACGGGTTTTACTGAAGACGGTAATGCCTCACCGCAGGGCTCTTCTAATTTGCATTTCTTTAGGAATATCCCAGGGTTCAGTAATAGGCTCTCTAAGAAACCACCGGTTGCCTGGGAAGTGTGAATTAAGGAGACATATTTTATCTTAGAGAAGAAAGGAATTTTTTTTGCCTTTTTTGAGACAGTTTCAGTATGCAGTTCAGGCTGGGCTTGAACTCACTTTGTAGCCCAGGCAGGCTTGAAACTCACAGCGAGAAAAGGAATTTTTGAGCCAGGTGTGGTGGCGCATGCCTGTAATCCCAGCACTCAGAAGGCTGAGGCAGGAGGATCCCCAAAAGTTCGAGACCAGCCTGGCTACATAGTGAGGTAAAGGCCAGTCTGAAACTACCTAGCAAGACCCTGTCTCAAAAAACAAACAAAAGAATTCTGATTCTTAATGGGATTAGCTTAAATTTCCACTTGCCTTTTGGAAGGCATTTTTACTATGGATATAACGCATCTCTAGGAAATTGCATAAAACCTGAACGTCCACCTCATTAATCTAGCACAAAGCAAATGCCCAGTATGAGTCCCACCAGGCAATAAACTATATATAGTGCTGGGCCCCAGCTGTCCCTACCTCTCCTCACCTGCATGAGAACGGACACACTATTCTAATACTGTAGTGTAGTTTTTAGAAACAGCTAGTTTAGTTTTGTCTGTTTAAAATTTCCCCAAGCCCGGAGCTGCAGCCTGAGCTCTTTTGTGCTGGCTGCTTCGGGTTTGGGAGCTTCAGCTACCTTCTGATGCCTGAGGCTTGGTCGCCGTACTGTGGCACAGTGCTTGTTACAGAAAACAGCCCGCAGCCCCCCTTCTCCTGCCGGGAAGGCCTTCCATGGCTTCCAGTTGAGGCTGCTGAACAGTACTGCTCTGGGCCTCAGCCCTCTGGCCCTGTCCATGCTGCTGGGGTCCACTGTGGCCCCGGGCTTCTGGTAGGAATGTACCAAGAGGTACAGGCGCCAGGGGGCTTTCCTTGGATTGTCCTTGCATCTTATTTATTTATTTATTTATGGGACAGGGTCTCCCTATGCAGTCCAGTCTGCCCTTGAACTCACTATGTAGCCCAGGGTGGCCTTGAACTCCCAGCCATCCTCCTGTCTCTGCCTCCTGAGTGCTGAGATTACAGGTGTGCACCACTGTGCCTCGCTTGTACTGTGTTTCAGATCTGGGATTTTTGTCTTGTAGGGCTGGTGATTCCAGGGATAGATTTATTTGGATTTTAGCATTAAAAGTGAAACTCTTTGGAAGTAGCTACAGCTTATAAAGACAAGTTGCTCCACAGCTGGCTTCTCTTTGAATCCTCCTCAGGGTGTGACCCCAACTGTTGCAGAGGTGCAGAGGTCTTTTGCCAATTCTGGACAGCCCTTCTCCCAGCCTCCCACTTGGACTATGGGGTCCCCCGTGGGATGGCTGCTAGGGAGAAGCTGTGCCTTCACTCTTTTCCTGAAGCTGCGGGAGCTGGAGCCTCCCTCTTACCAGCCAGTTGATTCTCCTGCCCAAGCCCTAGCCAACTTGCCTGCTTCCTGGCCTTCTTGAATTTCCTTGATCTTGATCTTGTCCCTCCTTCCAAGAAGTTCTCTAGCTTCTACAGAGAGCATAAAGTACTCAGGCCGGGTGTGGCGGTGCACACCTGTAATCCCAGTACTTGGGAGGCTGAGGCAGGAGGATCACCAGGAGTTGGAGGCCAGCCTGGATGGACTACATACTGAATTCTAGGCCAGCCTGAACTACATAGGGAGACCCTGTCTCAAAAAATAAAACCAAAAACAAAAGAAGTGTTCACAGTTGGGTATGGTGACACATGCCCGTAATCTCAGCACTCTGGGAGGCTGAGGCAGAAGGAAGGATCAAAAATTCAAGCTCAGGGGCTGGGGATTTAGCTCAGCGGCAAAAGCGCCTGCCTGGCAAGCGCAAGGTCGTGAGTTCGGTTCCCGGTACCGGAGAAAAACCAAAAAAAAAAAAAAAAAAATTCAAGCTCAGCCTAGGCAATTTAGCAACTAGGTAAGACATTGTCACAAACATTAAGAAAAAAAAGGGCTGGAGGGGGCTGGGGATTTAGCTCAGCGGCACAGCGCCTGCCTGTCAAGAGTGAGGTTGTGAGTTCGACTCTTGGTACTGGGGAAAAAAACAAAAACAAAAAACAAACAAACAAAAAAGGGCTGGAGATGTAGCACAGTAGGAAGGCCCCAAGTTCAATCCCCAGCACAAAGAAGTGCTTGGGGCTAAGGGTGTACTTTAGGGTAGAGCACTAGCCTGGCAGTGTGAGGCCCTGGGTTCTATCCCCAGCACTGCAAAAACAAACAAATAACAACAACAAAAATACCATGAGAGCTACATTCTCTTCTTTTTTTAAATTTTGAAAGAGTCTTGCTAACCTGCCCAGGCTGGCCTCGAACTTGAGTCTTCCTGCCTCAGCTTCCTATGTAGCTGGAATGACAAGAGTGTGCCACCACAGCTGGCTTCCTCCTTCCTTTTTAAAAACCAGCTTCATTCATCAGTATCTGTGCATGCCATTAAAATTTACTCCTGGGGAGGGGTAATTCAAGTAGCCAAGGCTTCTGCTGACTGTAGTAAAATGGGACTGTACACTACTACATGGTGTGGTTGAAAAATATGGTGAGCTGGGCATGGTGACCCACGTCTGTAACCCCAGCACTCGGGAAGCTGAGGCAGGACGATCGTTGTGAGTTCAAGACCAGCTTGGGCTACAAAGTGAGCTCAAGGCCAGCCTGAACTGCGTAGTGAGATCCTGCCTCAAAAAGACGGAAAAAAAAAAAAAAAAGAAAAGAAAAGAAAAGAAAAATATGGTGAATGTTTAAATTTTTAAAAAATTACAGTAAAGACACATTGCTGAATCTCTCTCAAAATACTCTCCTTTGCTTCAAACACACTTATCCCATTGTCCTTGCCACTTTCTGAAGCAGTTCTCAAAGTCCTTTCTTGTATCTCGAGTTGTTGTTATGGCTGCCTCAAATGTCCTGAATCAATTAAAAACGTTTCCCTTTCACGGTCGTTTTGACTTCGGGGAGAGCCAGAAGTCGCATGGTGCGGGATCTGGTGCATCAGCTGGGTAGGGACTCCCTGTAGTGTTTTACAAGCCTGCCTTTTTGTTGGGTGGCACGCAGCAGCGGCGCTCACTGTAGTTTTTGATCACAACTTGTAAAGGCACAAAGGAGGGGTTCTGGGATTGTTTTAGAAAGTGCAAGGTTGGGCATGGTGGTGCAGCCCTGTAATCCTAGCAGTTGGAGGCTGAGGCAGGAGAATCCCCACGGTTGGAGGCCAGCCTGGGCTACATAGTGAGTTCAAGGCCAAGGACACCCTGTCTCAAAACAAACCAGAAAGCGCAAGAATGATGTCTGAAGTGAGGGGGAGTTTCCCGGGGGACTAAAGGCAGTGTGGCTTTTACTGTACTACTTTTAAAAAATGTAAACACACATATATTTTTTGGTCCTCCTCATACATTTTTTCTGTATGTGCCTCATGTTAACTTATCATTCATTCATTCATTCATTCATTTATTTATTTATTTATTTATTTATTTATTTATTTGAGACAGGGTCTCGCTACGCAGTTCAGGCTGGCCTCGAGCTCACTTTGTAGCCCAGGCTGGTCTCGAACTTACAACGATCCTCCTGCCTCAGCCTTCTGAGTGCTGGGATTACAGGCATGCGCCACCACACCCAGAAATTTATCTATTTTAAATAATTTCCCTTCTCTTTCTTTCCTCTGCTTTCATTACCGCCTCTCAGCTGGGGTGAAATGGACTCTTTAGCCCAGGTTTGGCCAACTCGGTAAAGAGCCACTAGCAAATATCTCAGACGTTGAGGGCTCCCCCGTCCCTGTCCCCGTGACGCGGCCTGGCTCGCACAGACAGTTCCTACACAGGAGCAGGGCCGGTGCCCACGGTGCCTACCCACCGGGCTGAAACGCGGTATCACTTTTGCGCATCGTGGAACATTTTCATCTGCAGCCACTGAAAGGTTGGCGGAGCGCGGCGGGCACTGCGGAGGAGGCGCCGCGCGTTTGGCCCCTGGCTCTGGTCGGCCGGCCCCAAATGCGGCACACGGGCCGCGGGGATCCCGAGGGAGGTGACCGGGGGACTGTGAGAGTGGGAGTTGCCTGAAGGGTTTTGGAGACACTGAGGAGACAGGAGACTGACTCCAGCATCTTGAAAAATTAAGACAGAATACATTTGCAGAAAAACTGAGTGAAGAGTGGTGCTCCTGTTTCCCGCTCCTCCCGGGCCCGTTCTCCTGTCACTAGCATCTTGGGTCAGTGCACCGCGTTCTAGTTGAGCTGATAGCTTATTCTTCTTAAAGCGCAGTTAGGCTCGCTCGGTGCGGCTCCCGCCGGCCGGGCTCTGACACGCGGAGAAGGGCGCGGCCCCGTGAGCGCGGCCCATACGCTTCCCCGCCGTGAATCCCCTGGGCTCCACGTGGCCGTCCCGCCCTCTCCCCTGGCCACCCTCCCACTGTCTCCGCAGTCCCGCCTTTTCCGGAACGTCATAGTTAGAATCCTACAGTCTGTACCTTTTCAGACTGGCCTCTTTCACATAGCAAGATGCATTTAAGTTGCCGCCACATCTTTTGTAGCTCAATAGCTCAGCTGTTATGGGTGAATAATATTCCATTTTTACAACTAGGTGTACCAGTTTGGGTGCCCCCACCCTGCATCGCGGGGTGGCCCTCACCTCCCACATGCTAGGCCAGTGCTCACCTCGGCGGCACCCCCGTTTTCATTTCCGGTGTAATCTGGACGGCATCAGATATCGCTCTCACCACAGGGAGCCTTCTGCTTGGCGCTCCACCCTTCGCAGTGCAAGCTCCTGTCGCCCCTGTTTTGCACGTGAGGAGACTGAGGCACAAAGAGGTGTCACCGGTCAAGGCAGAGCAGGAAACGGGGCAGGAAGTGGGGCCAGGTTCCAAACGCTGCCTGGGTTTTCAGCGGGGGAGAGGCAGCCCAGCCTGCACTGGACGGGGATGGGGCTGGAGGCAGTGTCCAGCCGGCCACGTGGGCCAGGTTCTGCAACAGAGTAAGTCCTGGGAAGCAGAGAAGCCACGTGAAGATCCTCAGCAAGGGGGACGGCCGCCCTCCTGAGCCCCTGCCCACCCTCTTCCTCCCAATGTCCCCGCCTTGACGTCCCCATCTGTCCCCCCAGGAGTCCCCAGCAGACACACAGCTGGTGATGCAAAATGTCGGGGGAGGGTAGGCCGTGCTTGGTGCCCGGGAGTGGGCACTGGATGGGACACTGGGAGCTGACTAGTGTCCCGGGACCCTGCCCGTGCCTTCCGTTAGAGCAGCGCACTGTCTAAGCTCTGCAGATCTGTTCCTGTGGAAGTGAGAAGCTGCTCCTTCTCCCCGATCCGAGGTGCGGGGGTGCTGGGGAACTCCTCATGTTAGATAGAAGACCCCTGAGCCAGGCAGAATCTGGAGCTCCCCACCTTGTTCCAGAACCTTGCATGAGGGCTGGGGATTTAGCTCAGCGGCAAAGCGCCTGGCTGGCAAGCGCAAGGTCATGAGTTCGGTTCCCGGTACCGGAGAAAAACCAAAAAAAAAAAAAAAAAAAAAACCAGAACCTTGCATGAGCTGGCTGAGGTAGTGCACGCCTGTGATCCCAGCATGGGGAGGCTGAGGCAGGAAAATCACCACATAGCGAGACCCTGTCCCAGAAAACCAAACCAAATCACGCTCCCCACTCCCCCCACAAAAATCCCTTCCATGAGCCAGGCATGATGGTGCTGCCTGTAATCCTGGCACTCAGGGAGGCTGAAGCAGGATTGTAAATTGGAACTCAACCTGGGGAACTGAGTGATTTAGTGAGACTCTGTCTCAGAATAAAAAAAATAGGGCTGGAGATGTATCTCAGTGGGAAGGCTCTGAATACCGCAAACAAAACAAAAGCAACCTTGCCCGGCTCCCATCTCCCCTGTGCCGTATACAGACCAGCCCCAGGATAGAGAGGTCCTTCCCAGAGGGCGAGCCGGGTGTTCCCGGATTCCTGTTTCTTCTCTGGTCCTCCTCTGCAGGATGAAGAGAACCAGCTCACTCAACACGCTGAGTTGAGGTGGGCTGGGTGCTGCTGGTGCTCAGGTGCGGGCTGCTGAGGGGGCCAGCGGGTGCCGTGCAGCCTGCAGTCCCACCTGTGCTGGGATGAAGCGGGGGTCTCGAGTTTGGGGTCAGCCTGAGGAACTCAGAAGGTATGAGCATAACATACATTGAATACTTCAATTTTTAAAAATTACAGGAAAAGACACATTGCCATTAATTCCCCGAAAGTACTCCCGCCGTCTTCAAATTCTTAACAAGCTGTTCTCGTCACTTTCTGAAGCAGTTCTGGAAGTGTGCTTTCATGAGCGTCTTTATGAAGAGTGACCACAAATACACTGAGTGCCATCCAGCGTTAAGGGCCGGCTAGTAAAACCTCGGTGCCCTCACCTGGTACTGTGCGACTTTTCTGGCTTTTCCAAGTCAGAATGAGCATGAAAACTAGATTGCTGCAGAAAGTGGCAAGAACGGTGTGTTTGAAGTGAGGGAGCTTAGTGTTTCCGTCTTGCCCCGTTTTTGGTTGAGATGGGGTCTTGCTCTGTAGTTCAGGGTGGGCTTGAACTTACTATGTAGCCCAAACTAGCCTCAAATTCATGGTGATCCTTCTGTCCCAACTTCAGGAGTGCTGGAATTACAGGTATGTGCCATCACACCTGCCTGTCAGTAGAATTAATGTCTTTTACTATAGTCAATGAATTTTTTTTCTGTTGTCTAAGAACAGGGTTTCACTATGCAGTTCAGCTGTGTAGCCCAGGGTGGCCTTGAACTCTCAGCGATCTTCCTGCCTCAGCCTCCTCAGTGCTGGGATTTCAGGCGTGCACCTCCACTCCCAGCTCCAGTGGATTTTTTGGTAACTTGTGGTGAGACCCTGGTCTTTTAAAAAAAAAAGGCTGAGGTGGCCCATGTCGGCAAGCCTGGGAGATGGGACGCATAGGGGCTGTCAGGCTGCTATTGGTACCACAGTGTGTATCCCTTTGCCTGCTGAAGGGTATCTCGGTTGTTTCCAAGGCCTGACAACTGTGAAGAGCTGCTCTAAGCATCTGAATGTAGGTTTCTGTGGGGACGTGTTTCCCACTTTCAAGCAGATACCAAGGAGGGACACTGCAGGACGTAAGAACACTGTCAGCTTCGTAAGAAGCTGCTGTCTTCTCAAGTGGCCGCTCCATTTTGCACTCGCATGAATAATGAGCTAAATTCCCTTGCCAGCGTTGGGGTGGAGAGTGTTCTGGATTTTAGTTGAAATCCAAATCCATATGAGCTGGTAACTTTTTAATTTGCTGTAAGTAATAACACACACATACATATATATACAGCTACACATACGTACGTAGGGACCCACTGCATTCATACTCCACCTCTAGTGCCTGGAGCAGCCCTTGCCCTGTGGAAGGCCCTCCAGGGGCTCCGCTGCGGTGCTCGTCTCATCTGCACGTGGGTCTAAAAGTACCGGTCCCAGGATTTTCCTTGGAGAAAAAGATAAAACTACATAGGAGGGTCCCTAATGTTATCTCCGGTTCACTCAGAACTCAGTGGATGACAGTTTGTGTTTTTCTCATGTTGCTGTCTTTGTCCAGGGTCTAATATAAATGGATGTAAAAATCGCTGAAAAAAAAGGCCACCATAGTTCCTTTCTGTGTACAAATGGAATTTCCACATCGTATCATTAAGCTCAAAGAACATGGTGCTAAATTCATTTGGTCAGAATCAATGTACTTACACGCTTGAGAACGTTCCCATGCTCGTAAGTGAAGAGTTGCTATGTTAGAGTGAAACACACATATTTAAAACAATTTTTTTTTTTTTTTTGGCACTAGGGATGAACCCAGGGTCTTGTGCATGCTGAAGACATGCTAAGCTACTCCCCAGTCTGGACTTTTAAATTAATGCAAGAAATGTCCCAATCCTTCCAAGGGACAAAGGGAGTAATGAACTCTCATCACTCTCTGGAGACCAACATGACATCCTTTGAGGTGATGTAAATTTTACTGGATTCTTCACCTTGTCAAGATGTCAAAGAACGGCCCCAGCTAAAACTGTGGACAGCTGTAGGGATACCCATGGCTTTAGTCTGGCTGCCCAGTCTGCTCCTGAAAATGTTCCCAAATGGAACCAACTTACCTCCACCTTCGCCCGTACCCACAGCTGCTTCATCATCTTGGGATCACTGAGCTCCTTTCCTCAGGCCGCCGGCCAAGTCTTGCTGGCTGCTCCTCTTCTGCTGCCTCCTGCCACTGCCTCTGACAGGCCCCATGGCGCCTGGCACTGAATGTCAAGTGTTGGTTTCCTGATCCAGACCCTCACACTGCTGCTGGGTCCAGAACAAAAGTCTGCTCCCTGCTGGGTCATTTTCAGAGTTTCCCAGTGTGTTAGCATGGTTTTTTTTTTTTTTTCCCAGTACTGGGAATCGAACTCACAACCTCATGCTTGCCAGGCAGGCGCTGTGCCACTGAGCTAAATCCCCAACCCAATTATTATTATTTTCTTCTGGTACCAGGAATCGAACTCACAACCTCACGCTTGCCAGTGAGGCACTGTGCCGCTGAGCTCAATCCCCAGCCCCTCCAGTGCGTATGTGACGGAGGCAGAACCCCCTTCCCCACACTGAAGCTGTCTAGGACCCAAGCTGCCTTGCTAATAACCCAGCCCACCTCCCTGGCGCCCATCACCAGGCCCCATGTGCGCAGGTGCACTGCATATGCTCTGCCTGGCTGTGTGGAGATGCTTCTCGCAGCAGAAACAGCTATCCCATACCCACGTCCCAAAGGTGAACTCTGATGCCTCTCTAAACTGAAGGCGCAGAGACTGTATGTGTGAGCAGCCACTCTGCTTTTATACTCCAGAGCACCCTGCAGGTTTGCTCTATACAAGGTGAGAAGACAGCAGTGTGAGAAATGGCTGTGTCCTCCCAAGCTTGCTGCAGACGCACTGAGGGCGCTGCTGCTTCCTCTTGGTTCTGATGGCCCTCAGCAGCGCCAAGGCTGAGACTAGGTTGGAACAACCACTGCCTCAGAAACCTCCTACAGAGCTGGGCCAAACCAGCAGTGTAAGAATCACTGGGAAAAGGTAATCCAAGAAAGTAATTCCTACTTTCCCCTCTGGTTTTTGATCAGTTCAAATCCTAAAGTGATCAGAGGCTCACAGTGGAGAATCATAGCAAGTTCAACAGAAAGCATGGAAGAAATCTGTTCACGAAGACCTCACTGGTGATGCGCCCAATCTCCCAATGACTTCATTTCTCGTCAGCCTGACCACAAGCTTCTTTAAGAGAATTCTAGAATCAGAATCCCAGAACGATAAATCCTGGGGAACATGCCTTTACTCTCCCGGGTGAGAAAGGTCCTTGGGAAGTGCTAGCTTCCTACCACAGGTGATCACAAGGACCGAAACAGCCACGCCAGAGGCGCATCTTATGCTAAGGACAGATCAAGATACATCAGGAAATGCAACTCCGATTCAAGCACCGTGAAATTTTGTCAAGCAAAAATAGTCTTTATTCAAATTTAATGGAAACAGGGGTCACTATACTTTGCAAGACGGGGAAAAATAAAATTAAAAAAAATTCTTTTCTTTTTTTTTTTTTAATATAAAACAATATAATCACAATACCAGAATATGGAACTCTACAGTTTATTTCCTATGGGTTACTGCAGGTATCAATTTTTCTCGACTGTGCTATTCACAACTTTGTTAAGTCCAAAAATATGAAACCAACGTGGTAGGAAACTGAAGACTTAGCACTTTCACTAAATGGCATACATCAAAGGGCATCAATTCAAGGGCAAAAATGGTTGAACTCACCATACCTACCTATGCCATCATTCCAGCCTTAACGCTGTCCAGGTACTGAGCTCCCTGTAGGAAAGGCCAGGCCTGAAAGCCAAGGCGTTTTGGATATTCTACTGTGGGCCGTGAGGAAAGGGAGTTTCAAAGAGAAGATTTTTTTTCAGTCGAGCAGGAAGGCCTGGCGCCAAGAGGCTTTACTGAGAGGAAGCACTTAGATTTAACAATGATAGACACACCATTAGGGGGTTAAAAATGTACAGCAGTGACGGATGTTCTACCTCAATCACTTGTGCTACGGCTACCAAACATGTACAAAAGACTTCCCAGGTAGTTCCAGCCGTGGTCATAGCCAGTTAGGACCTTGAATGGGACCGAGATCGAGACCGGGAGGGTGATCTGGAAGCAGACCTGGATCGAGACTTGGACCGAGATCGGGTTTTTGAAGCTGACTTTGATCTTGAGCGCGATTCTGTCGGAGGGTTTGGTTTCGATTTAGAATTGGATCTTGACCTGGACCGAGCCTCTGGATTGGGGCCGGCGTCCTCGCCCTCCCCGCGGCCTTCCCTCTGGCCGGACTCAGCCTTGGCGTGTTCTCGCTCCTTTGACACTGAGCGGGATGGTGACCTGGACTGGGAACGGTCGGTGTCCTCCTTCTTCTTCTTCTTGCTGCTGCCCACTTTGCTGTCTCGCTTGCCGCTGCGCTTCCTACTCCGCTCGCTCTTGCTGCGGCTCCGGCTGCGACTGCGGCTCTCCTCCCTGCTTCTCTTCCTGCCTTTCCTCTTGTCCTTGCTTTTGCTGCGGCTGCGGCTGCGGCTGCCCGCTTTGCTCCTGCTCCGGCTCCTGCTCTTGAGGAGGCTCTTCTCTTGGCTCTGGCTCTTCTCTTTGCTCCGGCTCCTGCTCACGCTCGCGCGCTTCTCCTCTTCCACTCTCCTCTCCTGGCTCCTGCTCCTACTTTTGCTCTTGCTTTTATGCCGGCTGGGACTCCGACTCTTGGGCTTCCCGGTGCTGTCGTTGTTCTGGATCTTGTCTTCAGCATGGTCTTTACTCTTGCTGCGGCTCTTGTTGGCGCTGCGGCTCCGACTGCGGCTCTTGTCATCCTTGCTGGGGCTCCTGCTTTTCTCCTTCTTGCTGCGGCTGCGACTCTGGCTGCGGCTGCGGCTCTTGCTCCGGGAGTGGGAACCCGACCTAAGGAGACATGGGATGTGGGGTCACACTTCATGCTGACTGGGATGAAAAGACCAGAGTGACGCACGGTTGCACCACCAAGGGCAGCTCTCCAGACCCCCCAATTCTAATGTGGAGCAGGAAAAGCTGGAGTGAAGACGGGTGACAAGTAAAATCGAAGTGAGATACGGTACAGGGCTGCTTCCTGCCTCCCTGCCCGATCCCAAGGCAGACCCACCTAGACCGGGACCGACTGCTTTTGCTGCTGCCACTTCGGCTTCTGCTCTTCCGGGAATGTCTGCTTCGAGAGCGAGACCTGTGGGGAGAAATATTTCACTTGCTGACAAGGGGCTAGCTATAATTAGTCACTCAGGACAGTCTTTCCTTTCCGTTTGTAGTGCAGGAAATTGAACTTAGGGCCTGTGTATGCAAGACGAGTGCTCTACTGCTGACCTACACCGCAGGCCTGAGACAGTCTTTTTCTTTTTCTTTTTCTTTTTTTTTTCCCCAGTACTGGGAATTGAACTCACGGCCTTGCACTTGTCAGGCAGGCACTGTGCCGCTGAGCTAAACCCCCAGCCCCACTGAGACAGTCTTTCAATCAAACATGGGACACATCCAGCCAGGCACAGTAGTGCATGCTGTTAATCCCACCTACTTTGGGGGGGCTAAGGCAGGAAAATCAAGTTCGTGGCCCTTATGATCCACTTATTGAGACCCTGCTTCAAAATGCAATCAGTAAACGTGCTGGAGACATAGCTTAGTATCACAGCACTTGCCCAGCTTGCATGAGGCTCTGGGGTCAATGTCTAGTATTATGCCCCCACCCGCCCCGCGAAAAGGTACTGACCTGGCTATGCCCAGACACAAATTCTTTCCTGTGTCTGGGCTCACAGACCCAGCCTCCTGCAAACATTCTACCTGGACAGCTCACCAGAAGCTCTGACTCCAATCGCAAGCCCCTGCTCTTCTCCCTAGATCTGCCTCTTTTGTTGGGTTATTTCCACTAATGCCACTGTGGCTTACCCAGTTCCTCATCTGAGAAGCGACAGCCACCCCTGATTCCATCCCCTTAGCCATCGATGGTTCTGGCTCTTCATCCCCTGCTGTCTACCTCCTTGGCTGCTGCCTCCCAGGGCCATATCACCCCTCCCTGGCAGCACATCCTGTCCCACTGCAAACATTCTACCCTTTACTTTCTCCTCCCCTCACTGTGACCACACAACTGTCTTAAAAAGACTCCCCAAATTTCAGAAAACCATTAATTATTCCAGACTGTAAACTTTTTCTATACTTCCTCTTAAAGGCAACTGGGGCTCTTGGGCCGAGGACATGCCACTGGGACAAAGAGGGAGATGCTCAGAGCCTCCTAGGCATCATCAATTATAAAGGGCTCTTAACAAAATGTCTAACCTGCATCTCAATCAGACCTCTTCAGAACTCAATTTTCACCTTGTAGGAAGTCCAGGGGATAATGAATCATTCAACAGTTACAGAAGGAAACAGATGAATTCAGAATACTGAATAGTATTTAAAAAGCTAAGAAAAATAAATATGATGGTGTGTATGGGGGGAACTGTTCCAGGTTAACAAGACTTAATAACCTTTTGTAGTGTATGACTAGAATATATCCTGATCGGGGGTAAAAATCCAGCTATAAAGTACCATGGAGCAACTGGGGAAATATAAGTAAGGCCTCAGCACTAGGTGACTGATGAGATTACGTGCCGTTAATGTTCGCAGGGGAGAACCTAACACTGTGTTATAATAATCATTCTCGGAGACACACTGAATTATGAGAGGGAAGTTCCATAAATTCCACAACTCATGCAAAATATATATCGTGTGTACGTATAAATATATATATTTGCATATAGACAGGAGAGGAGAGAAAGAAAAGGCAAAATACCTTTCAAGATGGAAGAAGGGACATACAGGTATTTATGAACTAGTCTTTTATGTTTGAAAATGACTACAATTAAAGGTATGAGGAAACAGTAGAATGCATTTACATAAAAACCAAACACAACTGTAAGAATGAAGGCACAGGAGCCAACGTGAAGGGTGCTCAGCGACCACAGAGCGAACCATCTAAACATTAAAAAATTATGACTTCAGGAGGATGGTTAAGATCAAAATACAGGGCTAGGGATTTAGCTCAGTGGCAAAGCGCCTGCCTGGCAAGCACAAGGTCGTGAGTTTGGTTCCCGGTACCGGAGAAAAACCAAAACCAAAAAAAAAAAAAAAAAAAAAGATCAAAATACAGCTGGGTATAGTGGTACACATCTGTAATCCCAGCACTCGGGAGGCTGAGGCAGGAGGATCGCTGCAAGTTTGCAGGCCAGCCTAGGCTACAAAGTGAGCTTAAGGCCAGCCTGAACTGCATAGTGAGACCCTGTCTCAAGAAGACAAAAAAATAAAATAAAAACAAAGAAACAAAACAAGCATTGAAACAAAAAAAGTAAAACCAGTGGGGAGGGCAGGGCACAAGGGTACTGGGGGTAAAAATGATCAAAATATGCCATGTGCCAAATCTGCCAAAGGGAAACCCAATGATCTGTAGTACCAATATGGATTAATAAAAAAGATGTGACAAACCTAACTATAACAGCTCAAACATCAAGTACATATACATTCAAGAAGTTATTCACAAGGATCCTGAGCAAGAACCCTTCTCATCCTGAAAGGCTGCAAGGGCACACTTAATATTCTGCGAGCTGGTAGTCAGGGTGGTTCAGGCTGACAGCTCTTAGGCACACTTAGCCATCTACCATCATTCAGAGCAGGGCATCTGCAGATTAAATTGTATAAACATGAAGCATGTACAAGGCATTACCATGACATGGTCTTGCTAAAATATGTCTTTTTGGCCAGGTGACCTACTGCATGCCTGTAATCCCAGCACTCCGGAGGCTGAGGCAGGAGGATTGCCATGAGTTCAAGGCCAGCTTGGGCTACATGGTGAGTTCAAGGACAACCTAAACCACATCATGAGACCCTGTCTCAAAATGTCTTTTTTCTGGTGTCTTAAGATCTAAGAGTTCAGAGGAAGTATAGGAGATGGGGTAAAGGAATGAATTAAACTCTACCCTAATGATGGAGTAAGCAAAATCTAAGCTGTGGGAAAATCTTTACAAAGGATGACCTTGCTTCTTCATCATAAATACATGAGAAATACAGAGAGGGTGAAGGAGGACATGCCAGGAGTTAGAAGGAAAACGAAGACACGCACCATCCAACTGCAATGTGATTCCTATGCTGGATCCTAATACAACCAAGCCAACTACAAAAATACCTATTTGAGACAACTGGGAAAATACAAATACAAACTAGATACTAGACAACAGAATTATTAAAACTGGGTGATACGTATAAAGGGATTCAGAGCTCATTAAATGATTTTCTCCGATGCTTTATGTATTTTAAATTTTCATTGAAAAGTTAAAAAACGAAAGCACACAAGTCTCCAGCAAGTTTTCATTCCGCAGACCCAGAGCTTGGTGGGGCTCAGCACGACCCGGCCCCTCTGCCTCATCTCAAGCTCCTCTCCCTCAGTTCAGGCCTGGAACTGCCCTTCCTACTCTGCGCGCCTCTGCTCCCCCCAGGCCTTCAAGGACACCCTTCTACTGCTCTAGAAAAGCGCTGCCCCTCTGCCTTCTGTTGCTCCTTTCCAGGCCAGGCTTCTACGGTGTCATTAGGGAAGCCTTTGCAAACTCTCCAGATTACTTGTGCTATGAGCACTTCCTGCAATGAAGCTGTCACAATGGCAATCATTTGCTTAACGCTTCTCTTCTCCAGTAAGGACAGGGTCACACCTGTCTTGCTTACCAGCACTTTCCTGACATTTAGTGTGTATCCTGTGGGCAGAAGAGCTGCCAAATATGATAAAGTCTCTACTCTTTTTTTTTTTTTTGAGACAGGGCCTCACTATGCAGTGCAGGCTGGCCTTGAGCTTTCTGTGTAGCCCCGGTGGTCTTGAACTCACAGTGATCCTCCTGCCTCAGCCTCCTGAGTGCTAGGATTACAAAGTGTGTGCCACCATGCCCAGCAAAGTCTCCATTACTGAGCAACTGGTATATTTAGGAGTAACCAAGAAACCCGTGCCCATGTGTACCCCCAGAGACTATACAATTAGGGAGTCCCCACAAGTGTGAGAGTTCACTGATATCAGTCTCAGGGAACTTCTATTTATACTCATGACAAAAGAATTCAAGAGTTTTACAAATAAATGTTCAGTTCAAAGTTCCAACTTATTGAACCAGGGGAAAACCAGCCAATTACCTATGTGATCATTAACAAGTTGGTAGCGACTGCCTACACATGAAAGACACCGTCAACGGTACCTTGAATGACTCCGGCTCCTGGAGTAGGACCGGCGCCGTCTAGAACCTGGCTTGTCTTCAACCAATCTGATTTTTCTGCCATTGACTTCAGTTCCATCCAACTTTTCCAAAGCTCTTTTCATATCAGAATAAGATACAAACTCAATCACTCCTTCATTTTTGCGTCCCTTGTGAGCATCTGCATAAGTGACTTCTCCTGCCTGACGCATATAATCCTAAAAAAAAGAAAAAAAAATCCTTGAGTATATAAGGATACGTTTTGCTAAAATACTGTTTTTCCTGTTTTTTTTTTTTTTTTAAACCATGAATCAAACTCATGACCTCAGGTTTGCCAGCCAAGCACTTATGCTGCTGAGCTACATCCCCGGCCCTGCTAAAGTATCTGATGCAATTATTATAGTGAAAGTTTTCCTTTTCATTTAAGAATGTTAGCTTTCCTGAGAACGAAGTTTATGCTTTAATAGTTCCATATACCCCCCAACCATTTACTGAGGTTCTTTAAAGCACTGGCGATGAGTGGTAAAGATAATAATAAACAAAATTAAATTGTTCCTTTAAATAAATTTGTGAATATAAAAATTTTAAATTATCATTTTCTAAATTTTATAGTGGCAAATTATTTATTTATAGCAGGTCATGGTCACGATGATATTAGGTCTTTTGTCTTTTCTTTTTTGCTTTTCTGAGACAAGGTCTTGCTATGTAGTTCAGGGTGGTCCTGAACTTGTGATAACCCTCCTGCCTCAGCCTCCTGAGCGCAGGGATTACAGATGTATGCCACCATGCCTGGCTCTAAATTAGGCCTTTTACATTTCATTATACCCATGTTTGAAAATAAAGAAATTGGCAAAACATGAGCAGATCCATTACTATGATGAAATTAACTATTCATCTCTAGCTTTAAGGTGGCATGACCACCCACATGCCACACCATTACAGCACTTTTCCTTATTTTCATTCAGGTTTCAATATGGTTTAGTGGACCTGGGTGTGGTGGCACACAACTGTAATCCCAGCACTTGGGAGGCTGAGACAGGAGGACTGCCGCAAGTTCAAGATCAGCCTGGACTACATAGTGAGTTCAAGACCAGCCTGAACTTCAGCGAGGTCCTACCTTTAAAAAAAAAAAGTTCAGTGACAGAATACAACGAAGGTACTACAAGCTAAGTCATTTTAAGTGTCTGAAAAGAAAATGTAATTAGAATTTAAAATTTACTGCTTATTATTAATTCCCTGTAAGTGCAGTCATGTACTGCAAATGTGTACTAATAAGAAAAAGTGGCAAGAAGGATGGGATGTGTCTGAAGTGAGGAAGAATATTGGGGGGATTAGTGGTAAAGAGTCTTTAATAAATTCTTTTTTTTTTTTGGTTTTTCTCCGGTACTGGGAACCGAACTCACGACCTTGCGCTTGCCAGGCAGGCGCTTTTGCCGCTGAGCTAAATCCCCAGCCCCCTTAATAAATTCTTTAAAAATTTACTGCTTATTGCCAATTTCCCCACATTTATTTATATATAATAGGTATTTATAGAAAAATATATGAATATTCAATGGAGTTGATGTTTTGTTTTTTTTTTTCTGAAATATTCACCACATACACAAAAAACAAACATATCATTCCTTGTTTTTTGGCAGGGCTGGGGATTATTCCACAACTGTGCTACACAGTCTCAAACAGGCCCCAGGTCCTTAAACACGTAATTTATACCAATTCTTTGCTCACTGCATCATAAATATGTTCACATTTTATCGTATATACAATCTTCACAGTTAGTGTGCCCAATACTTTTTTGAAGCTCTCTCAATTAAGACTTTTAGGTTACATCAGATTACTGCCATTGTTCATAATCAAGTCAAAAACATCTTGGTATAAACACTTCTTCAACTGAACTGTTGCTAGGAGTGGGGATTCTGGGTAAAAGGCAGGGAGCTGTCCAAGGTGGGATACGCTTAACAGTGAATGAGGGTAGTCAGGGCAACACTGGGACTGCCTCGGCCAAATGAAATACAGGATCATTTTGGTGATGCTTGAAAAGTATCACTACTTTTACCTTGTCACATTAGAAATTAGTAATACAATCAGCTAACACACTCAATGTTTATGGTATGATATATTTTAAGTAACTCAGTCCTAGCTATAACCATATATGGTAGATAAAATCATCACCTCTATTTCACAGATGTGGAAAGTGAAATCAGAAATATTAAGCAAACTGCTCAAGGTCATTCAAGTAATAAACCAATGAGAGCTGGGATATGAACATAAGCAGTAATGCTCCTGGAACAATTCTTAACACCACTCTGCAGCAGATAAAACTATCATTCTCATGTGACCAACAGTATACTAGTGTATCATTTTCACCTCAATGGCATCACACTGGGCATTATAAACTTTTTAAACAAATGAGATCTCTTAAATTTATTTTTGCATGTTCTTGAATGACTTTTTTCTTCTAGTCTTTTTCAGACAGGGTTTCACATGCAGTTTAGGCTGGCCTTGAACTCACTATGCAACCAGGCTGGCCAAACTTGCACTGATCCTCCTGCCTCAGCCTCCCAAGTGCTGGAATTATAGATGTGCACCACCATGCCTGGCCTGTAACTAACATTTTTTATGTGCTAGGAACCATTCTAGACTTTTTAATAAAAATGTACTCAATTCTCACACTAATCTTGATTAGAAATGAACATTAACCGAATTTTACAGTTGAGAAATACAGGCACAGAGGTAAAGAACTTGCTACACTCACAAAAACAGTAAGTGGCAGAGCTGTGATTCAGTGCAGGGCCTGCTCTAAGGAAACCTGGATTTATCAGGAAACTGCTATTTTCCTGAGAGCAAAACTGTCCAAAGATATGAAAATATACAGCCAACTAAGGCTGTTAACTAGACTCCATTTTAACCAAAAAACTAAAAACTTTTTTGAGAAATTGGCAGTATATTTAATGACACCACATGAAAGCTTGGGATTTTGTCTTCATGAAGACAGTAACTTTTGTCAGGTGTGGTGGTGTAAGAATGTAATCCCAGTACTCTGGGAGGCTAACGGAGGAGGACTGCAAGTTCCAGCCCAGCCTGGGCAACAGTGAGACCTTGTCTAAAAAAAAGGTCTGGGGACGTAGCTCAGAGTGAAGGCCTCAAGTTCAATTCTCAGTATGAGGGTCGGAGATGGGTGGGGGCTGCTGCACTACTCACAATGTTCAATCCCTATCTCTCAGAATTCTGAAGTCATTCTAGCAAGCACAACTTCACTGGTAGACATTTAGTAAAGTTCTACAATGCCGATAGTCAACATAATGCAGCATAACGTACTAAAAACCCTCCACACTGGGAGTCAAGAGTCCGTTCCCAACTCTTTTGCTAAGATCAACTTATGACTTAAACTTTTCTGGATTTCATCTTTGTTATCTGAAGGTTGTTGGAAGCAAAAGCACATTTTGACAAGAAAAATGTATTGTTTTAAGATGACATGAATGTAAAGGATTCCTAACTTTTTTTTGCTAAACCTGAAAGTATTCACTTATTTTGCTAGGAATGTCTTTATTTATTGGTGGACCCAAAAGAAAAAAAAAAAAAAAAAAAAAAAAAAAACAGGACAGGAAACTGATCATCCAAGTTAGGATACAAGTAATTAAATTTTTCTTCCGTATTGAGATTAAAAACCAGTATCTGGCCAGGGATATAGCTCAGCAGCACAGTGCCTGCCTGCCAAGTGCAAGGTCCTGAGTTCAGTCCCCGGTACCAAAAAACAAAAACAAAAACAAAATATTCTTTTTAAGAAATGGCCTAGGGTACACTGGATGACCAGTGTAGGACTGGAGCTTAATTTTTTCTGAGACAGGGTTTTGCTAGGTAGTTCAGGCTGGCCTTGAACTCACAGCAATCCTCCTGCCTCAGCCTTTCAAGTGCTAGGATTACATGTGTGTGCCACCATGCCTGGCCGTGGACCTTAATTCTTAACACTAAAATTCTTTCAGGACAAATATTTCCTGGAAAACCAACAAATCTTATAAAAGAACATTAGTTAAAAGGTCAATTTCACCTGTAAGGATCCACACTGGAAGCTGACATAAATTTGCACGTTATAGCTAGTGTTTCCAGAAACACTGGTGATTTTGGTCTTTTAGTGGTGAGAAACTACACTGGCATCTTTCACAGCATTGTCTATAGAGGACAATTTCATAAAACCAGTCTGTCCTTAGAGTGACGGCCTCACAACAGGTAGTACAAATGAAATTCTAGTGTTGTTTTGTACTCTCATAGAAATTTCTTAGTTTTATCTTTTGGAACCGAGAATTGAACTCAAGATCTCGTGCTTGGCTGGCAAGCACCATGCTACTGAGCTATATCCCCAGCCTTCTAAAGGCAATTTTAACTGGAGCATTTCCAAATGCTCTGATGAAGCTTTCAGAGATACACCACCATTATATTCTGTGTATGCTCACATAAATGTACCTGTCTGCCAATGTTAACTTCTGCCCAACCTTACCCCAGAAGGATAATGAAGCGCAAACCTTTAGGTCTTGCCAACTGCATCGACTTGACAAATTCTCCACAATAAGTCTGTACTCTGTACGGGTGGGAGGGCCATATTTATCTCGGCCACTTCTTCTATAACCATATCCACCTTTGGAATGTCCAAATACATAAGATTACTTCAGTGGAGGAAAAACAAAAGATTACACAACACATATTCCCCACCCCAAACAACAGCACATATATTTTAACTCTAGTCCCACCCTTAATTTTAAATTCAAATTTTATAAAAAGCTGTGAGTTAAAACATGACAATTTAATTTACAAGGCTGTAAATATATATATTAATATTTATATTTAAAATTAACATGCATTTTTTTTTTTTGTCTTTTTGAGACAGGGTCTCGCTATACACAGTTCAGGCTGGCCTTGAGCTCACTTTGTAGCCCAGGCTGGTCTCGAACTTGGAACAATCCTCCTGCCTCAGCCTCCCGAGTGCTGGGATTACAGGCGTGCACCACCACACCCGGCATCATGCATAAATTTTAAAATACTAAATTTAACAATTCAGAAATAAGTAACTAAATTATTAAATCAGTTCCTATTGTTACTCACAGTGATTAAAGTTTTTGTGAATATTTTATATGAAAAAAAGATGTTCAGGCACCTATTTCAGTTTAATCTCATCTGTGTCTAACCCTCGGGATCCTCACCACCCAGGTCTAATGGGGAAAGGTTGCGGTCGTCACATGGCTTCCTGTTTTTGGTCAGCCAAGGGCCACAAAGGTTCAAAGAGCCACGCATGGAAAGGTAACCCAAGGTCAGCAAATGGAACAGGCAGTCATCTTAGCCTCAAAGGAGTCTTTTAATTAAAACATTGAGGTCTTTGTTAAATCTATGTTAAACAATTGCATTACAGAGAAAAAAAAACAATAACACATCATTAAACATTTATAAAGTATTAAAACAACAAATTTGTCATTAATTAAATTACATTATATCAAAGATGTTTATTTACAATTCTACAATGAAAAACACACAAAATTTATAAAACAGCTTAAATATCAATACATTTAAGTATAATTAATTACTTTTAAAAATTAACATTTAATAACAAGGGCATGTCACTGATTCAAATATGCCCTTTAAATGCTTACTGCGTCCAGAACCGTAACTGCCGTCTCGTCGTGGGCCGCGGGCATGCTCAACAATTACTCGCTCACCACAGAGGTCTTTGCCATTCAGTTCATAAACAGCATCATCTGCATCACGCAGATCATCAAACTCCACAAAACCATACCTAGAAGAAAGCAAACAAAATCCCAGTTGGCATCAATTTGATATCCAGCTTCACTAACATTCAGAGAAAGCAATGAGGGTCATGCTTAGCAAAGGTTAGGTGGGTTTTGCAAACTAAGGGTCAGTTTTCTCTTCTCTTCAGCTGAAACCACTTTGCTTTTTGTGCCACCAGGCAATGCAAGAGGTAGGGCGACTTCTCAAGGTAAACTCCTATCTTTCTAGAGGGGAGCTGCCTAGATATACAGACAACATACAGATATTTCTTTTCCCCAAGTAGATGGAGACAACAGCAAAGACCTCCAAGGGATGCTTGGTTTAAGATATCAGAATATATAACTTCAAAAGTTGAATGTTTGCTCTTAAAACATCAGATGAAACATCTTTTTCAAAAAATTTTGAGTTATCTTAGAGAACAATAAGATCCACGGTCAGGCACTGTTGTATTGTTAAATCATATTTGGAGTAACACAGCAGGTACAAAAATCACAGTATCTTAAACCTCCACTGAAAAAGAAAAAAAAAAAACCTTTATAAAGTTCCTATTTCTCTACCTGAACAAATTAGTCACAAATGAATTAACCGCTCCAGAAATCACTACTGGGAAGAAAAACTGGAGCTCTTTACTTCGCTGTGAAATCCCAAATTCATTTTCATGACATTTTAGATAAGCTGGTATTCTCTATAATCTATATAAAACTGAGCAAACTTCTTTACATCAAATTGCTAGGAATTTCCCAGCAAAGGGATATGGTGGTTTAATACAAAGTGGAAAGAAAATAAACCCCCAAATCCTATTAATGCCCACTGAAGAATAATTTGTGAAGCACAAAATTTGCATGATACTTATAAGCAAGATTAAACAAACACCCCATAAACTATGTTATCAATAAACATTTAGTTTGGTCTAGAACAGCTGTGAAAAGTCTAGCTTTGTGACCTCTGTCAATATTTAAAAACCAAAACTTTGCTGATTCTACTTAATCACAAAGGAAAGTTACAAGGAATTTTTTAGACTCTAACAAAACCGTGTGTGTGGCAAACACTGACTTGTGCTCCTCTACATTTCAACACTGACCCTAGAAACAGGCTGTAAGACTGTCCAGAGGTTCATTCAGCCTGCTACGAACAAGAAACAATTCCAGTTTGTAATTTTTTTCTCCAGTTTGTAACACCTTGAGAGAACCCAGAATTGCTGAATTTCTCTTTTATTAAAAGTTCTTTTCATACAAGAGTCTCTCAGGGTGACAATATACTGTTACAAGGTGTAAGTCAGTTTTGGAGGCATCTTTGTGTTGAAATGTCTTAGTGGGATTATTAGAGTCACTAAATCTCAACTCCATTAAAAGATGAACACACACACCCAGATATCTAATAGGAAGTGTTTTGCAGAAACACAATTCAGAAGCCACTAGGTCTAATTTATGGGGGGTGAAGACTTTAAAATGTGGTTCATGCTTGCATAGGCTAGAATTGCTGAGCAGCTTAATAAGAATGACTTTTAACATGCTGTTATACTTGACAAGGCAAGTAAAGCCTCTCCAAATCACTGACTTACTATGTTCAAAAGTGCTTTGTAGTCACTAAAAATTTATCATAGGTAATATACTGTAGCTGCTTCTTTCTTTCCTATGCAGAACAGGTGATCAGGAAAACTGTACTATTACTTTCATGGATGAAAGTTCTAATGAAGCAAATAAAAAACCAAATCTACCTTACTTTGGTTTCTCTAAAGATATTTTATCATCTAATGGATCTAAGCAGATCATTTTTAAAAAAGCCCTCCTTAATGTAGCTGTCTAGATCAGTCTTGGGTCTGCCTCGCCCACAGGGTCACTGCTGTTGGTACCATGTTACAGCCTGGCAGCAAGTAGGGAGGGATGAGTGAGAACACAGGACACGGGCAAGGTGAGATGCTCTTCCCTCCCCTAGGAGGTAGCCACTAGCTTGGTACCACTCAGAGACCAGATTTCATCTAGTGTGAAGTCAGAACCGCACTGACTCCTGAGGATTAAACAAAAGCATCACAGGAAAATCCACACTGTTTTCTTCCCAAATTGTTAAGGTTTTAGCCTCCCACGGGCTAGGAAATTCAAGACCCAAAGCTCTGTAGGGTAAATCAGGTGAAACGTCAGCTGTTTCAGATACCAAATGATGCTTCTGTCAGATCCATGTGGGAATGTGTTCTTCTAGATTCAGAAACCATGGCACCTCAAGGGTCACATGCAGAACTCACTCTGACCTTTCAGGACAAGCAAGCACAATCTGTCCAGTGGAGGCAATTATTTAAAAATAAAAATTAATTGACCCATCTCTCTACAAGCTGAGGGAGAAGTTATACTTTGCCAATAAAACTCTTCTATGAGTTGTAGGGAGTTTATAATGTTATAGGAAAAATGACCCTTACAGTCCTTCCCCAATATATGTATCTTAAAGATTCCAAAAAGTCGATCACTTAGTAACCATACTGCAGTGGTGGCAAGAGAGCCAAGACACTTATTAAAATAGGTGACCTAAGATCCAGTTTATGTCACAAAAAGAATTTTTTGGCTCTTTTATGAAAAGCCACAAAATCTATTTGGAGCATTTTAATGTCAAAGTCCAGTCTAAGGATCAAATGAGGCATCTGTCACTTTTCTCTGCCACTGGCATTCTGGATGGGTCTGAAGATTAAAACAAAAATGTTCCCATTCAGCAAATCATATCTGATAGGAACTCCTTTTCTGAGAGTAAAATACTGCGTGGTGTGTGGCTGCTTTTATCAAACTGCTGTTTATTTAGAACTGCTTTCCTTGAATACGTACAGTGAATGGGTCCCCCAAGTAAGGCAGGAGACTTATAGAAAATAACAACGAAATGTTATCTTCAGCTGGGCATGGTGGCAAACACCTGTATTTCAAGAACTCTGGAGTGTGAGGGAGGAGGATTGCCATGAGTTCAAGGCCACCCTGGACTACAGAGAGAGACAGTCTCCCCTGCACCCCCCCAAAAATCTGGTTTTATTAAGTAATCTCTTATACTAGACAGTTACTTTATTTAATATTCATGGCACTCAAGAGCCAGGTACAATTATTCCTATTTCACAGATAAAGAAACTAAGGCACAAAATAACTTCACTTAAAAAACTAGTAGAGTTGGCACTGAAAGCCTGTGGTCTGACACCATAGCCCAAACCCATAACCATTAAGATTGAGGCAGCAAGCGCTGGCCTGGGCTTTAGTTCTGGTTCTGTTAGAAGCTGACACTGAACAGCATACTTAAAACATGAAGTGAAGTGAGAGAACTATACTACCTATCTCTAAAGTTTGTCCAAACACCACAAGTATGAGAGAGAAATGTTAAATTTTTACTTCTTTGACTTAAGGAAGGATAATTTAAACTCTACAATTTGTCAGGTTAGTAGACAGTAGCTCCAGAGCTTCACAAAAGCAACAGATGGACAGGGGTCACTTCAATTTTTATTACCTAAAATATTTTTCAAACTCTGGGTTTGTTAGCTTTATTTAAATACTTTATTTAACTTTCCTTGAGTTCAATTTTATTGTCTTTAAAAGGTAAAACTCTTTCTCATAACTAATACCAGGGAGTCTCAAATTAGTCTAAATATATTCTTGTTGTACTTTGCAGCAAATAATATGAAATTAACCCTTTCTCTCAGAAAGTACTCTTTTTATGAATCTTTTGCCAAAGCAGGGAGGTGTGGATGCATACAACCTATTATACGAATGCGCGTGTATCTATATTACACATTGAACACCTCTTTGGTGAGACCTGTGAATAAACCTCACAAAACAGCGCAACAGATAACTGTCTCTAATGCTCACAGCAGACACACTTCCTCTTCTGCTCTATTAAGAACAAAGAATTTCTTTCAATTATTCTAGTGTGACCATGAAGAGGATCCAAGATCAAGGAGAATGAATCTAAACACAATTTGAGTCTTTATACAGCAGAGACCAATAAAGACACAAATGGCCCTCCAACACACTTTAACTTAGAATGCTATGCCTTTTAATCTTCCTCCCCATACTACATGAAACAATAAAAAAATGAGGCCCTATTATTAAGTGCACAAAATTTTTCAATTAAAAAATTCAAGTTGGATGTATGGCTCATGCCTGTAATCCCAGCACTCGGGAGGCTGAAGGAGGAGGATCGCAATGAGTGCAGGGCCAGCCTGGGTTACACAGTTCAAGCTCAGCCCCTGGCATCCTGTCTCAAAATCAAACAAACAAAAACAAACTCAAAAAACAAAAAAATAATTCTTCTACATTTTTCTGCTAGTGCCTCTCACAAACTTTTCCTTTGGTCATGTTCTATTCTGACAAACTGAGTCAAAAGAATGAGGAGCAGGAAGAGGCATTTGCTGTCACTTTTCACCTAAAGCGAACACCACCACTCTCACCAAAAAAAACCCCACTACCCCACAAAGCAAGCTGCATTGAGTACATGGGCCTGTTCTAAACTTTTGTCCATTCTTATCTCTGTGTAATGCTATAGTCTTCATGCTAGTTAATATACTGCTCAAGCACCAGTCAGAACTCTGCAAAGGTCCAACTAAAATGACAGGTATCCAAACTAAGATACTCCCAAGCTTCAATTTTAGAAATGTTACCAGACTCCTTTACCCAAGAATCATTACCCAAGCTTGTGTTGTTGCACAACAGGCTTTCCCTGATCCTAATACCTGATACTAATGGTACCAAACACTGCTAGGCCTGCCCTTTTCTCTGTGTTCTACTGAAGAGCATACAGTTTATCACACCCTCAGGGCATCTCTGTCTTCCAACTATCTTCAATGAACAAACAAAGTAGAGAATATGTCCACCTGAGATATGACGACCAGGGCTTGCTCAGAAGATGGGCCAACCAATGACTTGCCTGAGCAGGGTGTCACTAAGGGGGTGCTAGATACGGGAACCTGCTGGGGAGTGGAGATGAGGAGCAGGGAAAGCAAGCCTCCATGCGTGTGACCATGGTCACCCACCAACACTGCTTACCGAGGGGCATGCCTTGGATGTTCTCTCTATAAGAAAAATGTGCCCCTTTCCATGGTGGATCTCCGCTCACCTTTGTCCTAAAACTGTGCCACATGCTTTTCTTTGTATGTGGACATGACAGTCCTCAGCCAACCATCAGCAGGATGTGAGTTTTGTTTTCCCAATGTGGTGAGCCATTCCCACATTCACTCATTTTCCTGGTAAGAACCGAACCTCTCCATGGCTGGTCAGGATTAGGGATGTTGCTGTAGCCAAGGAAAAATTTTCATCTGTTGAAGTTAACCCACCGGGTGGCTTGAACCCTCAATCTAGAGCCAGTAGCACTGTATTTTGAGGGCAAAGCCCTTAAGTCTACCCTGAAAGAAATGGCATTCAGTAAACAGGAATCAAATAGCTTTCTCTGAAAGCATTCAATGATGATCCTATGCTTCAGCCAACTTGGTCTGAGGTGAAAAAGTTAGGACACACTGACAGGACAGTAATAAAAACAGTAATTGTTGCTGTCTGCATAAAGTGCTTGGAAACCTGCAGAATAAAAATAGTTCTGCAACCAACGCTAGAGCTCAGGAGAGGCTAACTCAAAAGAAAAGCTTGTGTATGAGATAGTGTAACTGCCCAGGTTACAAAGGTCTGCAACATTCCAGAGAACCAGCAGTTCACAGAATTAACTAGTGCCACATTTACATCTCAGGATCAATTACGGTTGCAATGGGACTTGCCTGGTAATAGAGGGTGTTTATAAACCACAACTGGAAGCTGCTACCATATACGTAGTTTCCTGAGATCCTTTGCTATCCTGAGACAGGAAAGAGGCTGCTCTGGGTTTTCTGGCCTCCCTTTCTTTAATCTCAGGAGAGGGAGTGCCTTCCAGGCCACCCGGACAAGGTGGATGACTTACCCGTGCTCACTGAGTGGCAGAGCTGGGGTGCGACTTCAAGGCTCACCATTACCCAGTCTGGGGCTCTTTTCACGTCGGCAAACTGGCAGTTCCTGCACACCAAGAGCTCTCTGATTAGAGCTGGTGTGGATTCCTGGTCTGCAAACGGTTGGCCACAGCTCAGTCTGCACTTGATCTTTCCCCACCTTCAAAGAAGAAAACCTACCTCATGATTTCTCTCTTCCAGATCCCCTGATATCTAATTCATCCCCAACAACCTTGTAGTCACTTGACTGCTCTTCTGGTTACCCATTGGGCTTACTGCCAGGTTCTGTATTTTCTCATTTTGCTGGGCCTTCAGGATTGTCTCTACCTGTTCCATCAATTTATATATTTTATGCAATGGTCATTTTTACTTAGTCAATCTGTCTCTTTACACTGTAGCAGGGAGAGCCAGCTCCAAAAGCTTTCTTCTGTATAAAGTCTTCAATGATGACTAAATACCTGCATTCTCTGAACTGAACAACCTGACTTCACAAGTTGAATCATTTCAATATTCTTCCTTAAGCTTGAGAATTCTCTCTTTTATGAAGCCTTAGAAACTTGTCTTAGCACTTTCTTTAGTATTTTTATTCAATTTTAATATATACGGCAATGTGTTTACGGTTTTTCAAAACTTGTTCTTTTTCTCTTTGTGCTTATCTTCTCATCTGATCATGAGCTCTTTAATAATTATGAAGGCCAGTAACTGTTGAGAATGTAACACAGTGCCTGGCACATAGTAAGTCAACCATATTTTATTTATTCCTTATTACAAACTTGAAGAATGTACTATTATTCCCATGTTATAACAAGAAAACTGAGGCTTGGAGAAGTTAAGAAACTTGCTCACTGCCAAGGAGCTTAGCAGTGTAGAGCTGCATTTTAACTCAGGTCTCTACGATTCTAATATCCCAAGTCTAAACCACAAAATCCCAATACCTTTTAAAAGCCAAAGGCTTCTCCTTTCTTATACTTTTGAGTATAACCTTTTTCATTTGACAAATGCTGCTGTCTGAATGATAATCTAACCTCAGATAGGTCAGGTGGTAGTATAGTTTTTAAATTTTGTTTTGAGACAGGGTCTCACTATGTTGTCTAGGTTGGTCTCAAATTCATGAGCTCAAGTGATCCTCCCTCTTTCACCTCCCAAGTAGCTGGCCCACGCCCAACTCTCTGTAGTTAAGTTTTTTTTAGACAGCAGGGTGAAGTCTCCAGAGAAAAAAGAAACTGATCTTGGGGCAGGGTGAAGCACCTCTAAGCTGGGGGTATGTGACAACCAGGTTACTTTCACTCGTCTTTTGGTTCCCATTAGCCAGTGTCAGCCATCTGGTCCTTCCGAAAACATGTGTGGGTTCAGAACATAACAGACTAGAAGAATAGAGGAAAAATAAGATTATTCTGTGCAATCCCCATTCTGGAGGCCCCACATCAACCCCTGGAGTCTGTCTTTGGTTCTAAGGCTTGGCAAAAATTAGACCAGCACAGATAAGATAGAGTTATACCTAGCTGTGGTAGATGTGAATAGACATTGACAATATGAAGTAATCAAAGATGCATTTAATTAGTTTTAAAGGAATGGTGACCAGGATCAAAATGTTTGTAAGCATGTATTATGGGAGAAAATCCAGCCAGAAATTGAAGAACACTGCAAGGCTTACGGGCCTCCAACTATGAGGGTTGAAACAGCAGCCAAGTGATTTTTAAAAGTGATTCCAAACTACTATTAACACAGTCACACTCTAGCCCAGTAGAACTCTTTTTCTTCAAATTTCTTTATACTAACTATTCTTTTTTTTATTCTTTCTTTTCTTTTCTTTTAGTCTTTTTGAGACAGGGTTTCATTATACAATTCCGGCTGCCTTTGAACTCACCATGTAGTCCAAACTGGCCTCGAACTCACAGTGATCCTCCTGCCTCAGCCTCCCGAGTCCTGGAATTACAGGCGTGCACCACCATGCCTGGCACTATTCTTATTTTTAAATGCATTTCTGTATCATGTTATGCTATGTGCTTTACATACACTATACCATTTAATTTTCACAACTCAGGTTTACTGTTTTCTTATAGATGAAGAAACTAAGGCTTAAAGCAGTTCAGTAACTTGCCAAGGTTACTCAAACATCTGGGGTTCTTTACACCCAGATCCTAACCTAAAACCTACACTTTGCTGCCCCATACATCAACAGAAAAAAGGGGTCTATAAGACCAATTTGAGAGGGTTTGGGCCTAGGTCACGTCAATATGGCCAAACGCACCAAGAAGGTCGGCATCGTCGGTAAATACGGGACCCGCTATGGTGCCTCACTCCGGAAAATGGTGAAGAAAATTGAAATCAGCCAGCACACCAAGTACACCTGCTCCTTCTGTGGCAAGACCAAGATGAAGAGACGGGCGGTAGGAATCTGGCACTGCGGTTCCTGCATGAAAACAGTGGCTGGTGGTGCCTGGACCTACAATACCACTTCTGCAGTCACAGTGAAGTCAGCCATCAGAAGACTGAAGGAATTGGAAGACCAGTAGAAGCGCTAGTGTTGGAGACATCCCTAGCCTATAATAAATAGGTTAATTTGTGTAAAAAAAAAAAGACCAATTTGAGAAAACTAAGCTCTGGGAAGACAAAAAAAAATCAGTTTCATCAAGTTAAGCATGGGGGTGTGGAAGACAAATTCCCACATGCCTAAGTGCAACTTACAAGAAATTTTAGTAGCAAATAAATGTCATTTCTGTACCTGAGGTATGCAAATACTAGTAAGTTGTATACATTCATTCTCTAGTAAACTATCAATGGAATCAAACTTATAAATTAACTATCCCAGGGGCCTGGGATGTAGCTTAGTGGCATAGTGCCTTCCTGGCAAGTGTGAGGCCCTGGGTTCAATTCCCAGTACCAAAAAAAAAAAAAAAAAAAAAGTGAAAGAATAAATTAACTACCCCTGGGTGTAGTGGCACACCCTGTAATCTCAGCATCTGGGAGGCTGAGGCAGGAGGATCATTGGGGTTGGAGGCCAGATTGGGCTACATACTGAGTTCAAGGCTAGCCTAAATTACACAGTGGAGACCCTGTCTCAAAAAGAAAAAAAAAGCCGGGCATGGTGGCACACACTTGTAATCCCAGCACTCAAGAGGCTGGGGCAGGAGGGTAGTTCTAAGTTTGAGAACAGCCTGGGCTACAAAGTGAATTCAAGGCCAGCCTGAACTGCACAGCGAGACCCTGTGCAGACCAAAAAAAGAAAAAAAAAAAAAAAAAAGGAAAAAAATTTTTTTGGGGGGGATCTTTTTTGAGGCAAGGTCTTGCTATGCAGATCAGGTTGACCTTAAACTCTCGAGGATCCTCCTGCCTCAACCTCCTGAGTGCTGATTACAGGCATGCACCACCACATGGAGCGCCCCCCAAAAGGAAAAAATTCTTTTATTTTGAGGGGTGGTCTTTTTAAGACAAGGTCTCATTATGCAATTCAGGCTGGCCTTGAGCTCCCTTTGTATCCCAGGCTGGCCTCAAACTTGCAACAACCTTCCTGCCTCAGCCTCCTGAGTGCTGGGATTACAGGCGTGCACCACCATACTTGGCTACAAAAATTCTTAACAGGGGCCTGGGGATTTAGCTCAGCGGCAAAGCGCCTGCCTGGCAAGTGCAAGGTCGTGAGTTCGGTTCCCGGTACCGGAGAAAAAACCAAAAACCAAAAAAAAAAAAAAAAAAAAATTCTTAACAATAAAGTAACTATCAAAATTTTAATACCTTTATAAGGAAATAGAGAAAATTATCATTAAGAACCTGTATCCCAATTACATAGAAAATTATTATTATTATTACTATTTTTTGTTTTTTTCCAGTATCGGGAATTGAGCTCATGACCTTACGCTTGCCAGGCAGGCGCTGTGCTGCTGAGCTAAATTCCCAGGCCTACACAGAAAATTAAACTCATGACCCTACGTTCTCATAAAGCAAGCAAACTATTTGTTGAAAAAACTCCTAGTGATAAACAAATAACAAAACTCCAACCTATGTTATTAAGCCCACATTGAAGATCTCAGTTAATCTCTAACACAGAATATTCACATAGTGGGGTGAGAAAAATACTATTATCCTAAAAATCCAGACCTTAATCATTCCTTCAGAATAGGAGGTAGAGTCTATGGCCACACGACCTTGAACATTCCCATCCTCGTCAGAATAGGAGGTAGAGGGAAGTCTACATCAAATTTGAATTTAGTGTTACTCTGTAACAGTTCTAAGGGTCTATGTGCTTTATCCAAATCCATTTCAGAAATAAACTAAGTGGTCACAAGTGATAAAGCACCTGCCTGGTATGTGTGATGCTATGGTTCAAGTCCCCAACACTACAAGAAAGAAAAAATCAAAAAGAGATTAAGTTTGCCAAGCTACTTCATTTTTACTAGGTTGTCACCGTATTTTGGTCCTATGAAATGGAACCAGTGCTGGAGAATACGGCTTGGTGAGAAAGTGCTTGTCTAGCATGTGCAAAAGCCTTGGGTTCAATCCCCAGCACTGCAAAAAAGGACCTACCAAGAAAGCAACATGCTTGCAAATAGTTTGTGGACCAAACTATTATGACCATAACCCACTTGTCTTAAATAAATTTATTACTTTTGATATTTTAAAGTCAACATGGATGCTTCCCTTAAAAGGGGGCAAACACACTCACATCTATCTGCTTCAACATTCTGACATTTATCAACATATGCAGGGTAAATGAAATTAAACAGTCTCACAAAAAGGGGATCAAATATTCCCTGACACTATGCTAAAGTTCATGAAGACTTACAAATTTAAAACAAGATTAAAGTACTCAAGAAATAGTCACGTACTGTACAGGTATGGTGGCGCACACCTGTAATCCCAGCACTCAGGAGACTGAGGCAAGAGGATCACAAGTTCAAGATAGTTCACGGCCAGCCTGAACTACACAGTGAGATTCTGTCTCAAAAAAAAAAAAAAGAGAGAAGAAAGTAAGTTAGAACATCTACTTAGCATACAAGTTTTGGAATATAAAATAGAATTATTCTTTCTTTTATTCCTACTTATCATAATAAAGGTTTATACTCAACAGACAGCACTACCCAATTGCACACCAAAGCCACAAAGCCAGTTCACACCTCTTAAGACAACACTAGGAGTAGGTTACCAGGTGTTGAAGCCTCATAAAGGTTATGCCTCAGGGACCATCCCAGCTGTTCAAGATTCAAGATTCCTTTTAACTGACTCTGAGCTATAGTCTGTTTCTTCTTTTTCTATTTAGTATTGGTTTATGCTACACATTCCCATGGTATTTTTTAGGGAAACCCTTCCCCTGAAACTGGCCATTTTACTGTTTCAGTAAATTTTTGAAATTCTTTTAACATTAATGGATAAACAAATTTATTTCACCTGCAGAACATCTTAAGTCCTGACCTCTGGCTAGGGCCTCCTGCTTGCCCCTTTCAATCCTGAAGGCTGATTTCAAAGCTCCCTCCTTCATCTGCCCCCTCTCCAGGTCTTGGAGAGCTCTGTTCCTGAAAGCCCCCCTTCCAGGGATACAGGCCTAAAGACATGGCTGGGGTGTGAGGGAGGGATAAAAACAAAGATAGAATGCCACTTAATGCAGGGTCAATTTCTCATTATTTAAGAAAAAGTTCCTGATTAAAACACAAAACCACTTTCACCCCTTTAAGTAGCAAAGTTTCTTTCTTATTTCTTGAGACAGGGTCTTACTACCTCACCATGTTGCTCACACTGGCCTCCAAACCTAGGGCTCAAGTCATCCTCCTGAGTAGTCAGGACTACAAGAGTGTACCAATCTCAGCTCAGAGCAGCAAAGATGTGAAACAAAACAACTGAGGCTCAAAGCCTGTGAGGCTATCATGTGTACATGCTTAGATGCTGCCGGCACAAACACAACTCATGCAGCTTTGCTGGAAGGTTATCTGATTATACATACAGGCAGCATCGAGTATGTTCACTTCTGCTGTGACCCATGAATGTATCTTAAGGTATAATAAAAATGCAACCCATGATTCATACACACGATACCCATTATAGAAGTATTTACAACAGAAGAAAAAGCACCTCAGGAGAAACGATTAAATAAATGATGTTAGCCAACAGGAAGATTTTAATGTAATAGAAAAATTACATGATAAGCTAGAAAAAAATGGGATAAAAATTTACACATAAGGCCTCACTTATGTTGGCAGAATTCTTTATGCGTTTTACATTGTCTAAATCATCTACAATGTACTTACATTTTTCTCTAATCAAAAAGTTAAAAAAAAAGTTCCTCAGGCGAGCGTGGTGGTGTACACCTGTAATGTCAGGCTATACAGTGAGTTCTTTTTTTTTTTTTTTTTTTTTTTTTTTTTTTTGGTTTTTC